ACTGGTTTAATAATTAATTGATTATAGGTTTGGTTGGGAATTTTGGTGGACCTCACACTTTTTTTCATTTTTTTTTAACCACTTCAAGACCAGGTGTTTAGACCCCCTTCCTGGACAGGCCATTTTTCAGTATTCAGCGCTGCGGTACTTTGACTGACGTTTTTTTCCGTCATGCAACGATGTACTGAAACAAATTTTATACCATTTTTTGGGGACATATAGAGCTTTACTTATGTCAAGCTTTAAAATTGCGCGCACCCGCGAAATCGCAGAAAACTACCATACCCAAAATTGGCCATAGGCGACACTTTAAAAGCTTTTACCGCTCATCAGTTTAGTGTTATCAGTGATTGATGGACCTAGACTTATTGCTCTCACTCCGACGTTCGCGGCGATATGTAACATGTGCGGCGTAATGGGTGCAATCGTCTTTTTTGCACGTATGTGCCCCCGACACATGTTTGCATGCGTGTATGTATGGGTCGGGACTTTAAAAAAATGTTGTTTTTTTTATTCTTTTTTATGCATAACTTTTTTAAATTTTTTTTGGGGGGGGGACTTACATTTTTTTTTCCTTTTTTTTTTTCCCCACTAAACTTTATTGCTATCACATACAAGCAGCTTCGTGAATAGACCCCTATGTTTCATGGGTAAGGGTATTGTATAAAACGGGTATTATATCTCCCCCTAGTGGCTCAATATAGCTTCAATCCAGGGATTTATTAATGAATTTTGTAACCTACTATCTGTGAATATTGGGCTTTAATTGTTTTTAGAATCTTAGGTATCCAGCCACACAGTTCAGTTTTTATACTTTTTATTAACTACTCCATTGTTTTATTTCAAATTTTATTATTGAAATTCCTGTCAGCCCCCCTGTAGGTCAATCCAATATGAATCAGCACTCTTTCATACTACAATCAGACTTGAGAAAGAAGCTTTATACCTCGTATAGCATTGCTTAAATCTTCTTTGTCATGTGCCCAAAGTCCTTGGCTGAAGATTGCCATCTGCATACCTTACACCTTAAGCTGAGTTCACTCCCATACTGATGTGTACTGGTACTGGCACCAACATAGCACACCAAGTGGTTTGAAGCTTTTAGTTGCTATTAAAATGACTTTTAATTCACAAGACCTGTGCCCTTTCTACTTTGATTTTGCCATTACTGGATATTACACGATCTTAAGGAGCAGCCAGACTTTCCACCTTCTCTATGGAATGATTTAATGACTATAGGGGTTTGACCCTTTTCCACAGTACATTGCACTTTCTGCTACGTTTTAAAGACTATATTACACTATTTTACATTTGAAAATATATGTCCGTACTCTTAGTTGCATTTCATGTTATTATTTACCTTGCTGTACTACAATTCATTCCTGTGGAGAGCTGGTAATCCATCATAGCATGGAGTATGAACTATCCATAGGACTTAATGAGAGTGCACAACACATGCGTGTCCCAGCTCTGAACATTTCAACAAATGGTTCTCTGGTGTCTGCGGTGCAGTATTGCTTGAAAAAAAACAAAAAACATTTCATGCACAATAAATTATAAGCCTGACGTCTGCAACTCTTACTTTCATAAACCCCTTTAAGATTGAGGATTCAAATGTGACTGACTGACTTGCTTTTAGTTTACAGACATTTGTAAAAATCTTAATGTTTTTAATTCTTTTGATCATTGTAACATCTTCTTTAACATGACCCAGTGTTTTGAATTATAGTGGGTTCTAAAAAAAACCTTGTGTCTTCAGGTACCTTCACTGTAGTGAATACTATCATTTAAGATGCTTGCATAAATTTCACATCACAATTGAGGCTTATAGCCCTTCCCTAAAAATGTGTTTTACATAAAACTATATTTACCATTTGATAATCATCTGTGTTCATGTAGTTTATTTTTAGTTTATAAAACTGACTGACAAAAGGGCTGTAGCTGTGTTTATGCAAGCATTGCATCATATTATGTTTTCTTATTTTTTTGCATTCCACTTGGAGATACGGATCTGGGGTTTTTTTTTTGTTTTTTTTCTTAAGAATATCCATTTTAGAAACCAAGATAATACTAAGAACAAAAAAACTGTGTTGGGTAGACAAGAATCTTCAGGTGCAGAATTTTTATGTTTAGTTGCAAAGCTTAATAGTGTTCAAAACCCCGGGACAATGTTTTAAGCATATACTGTATGAAGTAACTTAAGATTTGTTGTAAAGGAAACATTTGAACAGAGTTTCTGGCACAACCAGTTATTAAGTGTCAAGAGGCAATTACTTTTTTCACACATTGGCAGTTCATGTTCAAAAGCATTGTTCATTTAATAAATGACATGCCTTGTTAAAAATGTTTTACTTGTTCTGAAAGTTGTCTTCCTGTGAAAGTTACAAAATAATTTCAAGGAACTTTATATGTAATATTTGGTTGTAATACAGGTTGCAAATATGTTTTTTTAATTTTGCTTAAGATGTTGTACTGATGTCATAATCTTTCTTTAGCTGTAAAATAACATCAAGAGAATACTGTGAGTTCATGAAAGGATACTTCCATGAAGAAGCAACATTATGTTCACAGGTATACTTTGTCGCACTGAATTTTAAGTTATAAAAATATACACCGTACACTGAGAATATGCTGTCATTTTCTGTTTTTGTTAGCTGAATAACATGTATTCTACTTGTCTTAGAAAAGAAGTAGAATGCATGTATACTTTAAAATGTGCGGGTGTAAGAATGAGGTTTGGGAATATCATGGGATGGTAAGAAAATGTGCCCATTACAAAAACCACCTATCCTCGATGACACCAGCTCATGGGTTCTATAGTAAGAGGTCACAGAGCCAATAGAAAGTTGAAAATTGCATTAAACTGTCAAATGAGCATTGATAGCAATGCACTAAAATATGAGTATACTTTATTATATTAAATAGTGTTTAGAATCACAACTGTTTGTTATTATCAGGGAAATACTTTAAGTAGTATTAACCCCTTCGTGACGGGAAACGTACACTGTACGTCCCTGCCACAAAGTGCCCAAATGACTGATCACGTACACTGTACATGATCAGCTATTTGGAGCTGTCAAAAGCCGGTAACCGCTGACATCAGCGGTTACTGTTCATTAATGGATGCCTCAGTATCGAGGCATCCATTAATGAAAGAATTAAGCCTTGACAGATACCTGATCACTTGTAGTGATAGGGTATCTCACAATAATAGCTGTGCAGTATTTACCACACTGACTTGACGCATCACTGTTTGACAGCTGAACACACAGGGATTAAGAAATTCATTGTTATGCTTTATGCTACATGTTTCAGCAATAAAAACATTTACCAAAATGTTTCTTTGTTGAAACATTGTATCAGATTTCTAATCATTCTGGGAACGATCAGAAGTCTTTAGTAAGATCTGATCCTGACATGCTGCATTTCAGGATCAGTCACATGCTGCATTTCAGGATCAGTCACATGCTGCATTTCAGGATCAGTTATTGGCTGTTTGGAGCAGCCTAATAATAACCAAAAATAAAAAAATTATCAAGCAGACATAGTGAGATCCATTCACAATGATTGCTTGATATAATTGGGGGGAAAAAAAGTGCGTCAGTCATCAACGAACAAAAACTGAAAAAAAGCTCAGTCATGAAGGGGTTAAAGGGAGGAGATTGGTGGCAGAGGAGCCATAGGCTCCTTCTGCCGTCAGTCAACCTGTTGGGTGGAGAGGAGCAGCATGGCCTGCCGCAGGTCTGTGTGACAGACACAGCTACTGCGGGCATGGCCGAGAACGAACACGCATGGGTGCCTTCACAGCAGCCGCTTAGCTGATGTAGAAACCCGTGCAGGGGGCTGGGGAGACAGTAATGCGGTATAATGCAATTTAAACATTAAAAAAAGAAATAAAAACAGAGTTGCATACCATCTGTGCCTCCCTTTCATACACAAAAAAGAGCAAGGTTTAATCTCACCTTAATTCACCAGGTATGAACAGTTAGCCCCATTTTATTTGCCTGATTTGTTAATCCCAAAGAACAGAGGAATTAACTCAAAATCAAAAGTATGGCAGTGGGACATTCCATTCTATTACATTGTAAATAATAATAAAAAAAGCGGTCGCCTATATACAAAAACAAAACAGAGGATAAGGCCAAACAATTCTTCCAGACTCTTGTAACCCTGGCCCAACTCCATGATCATCTTAAAATGCGTAGTCAGTTTGATTACCTAAACAGCAAGCAATGTGGCTCCCTTGCTACTGGGACTAGGATGATCCTATTTGTTTGGATACAATCCATAACAAGCCAAAAAGAAAAGACACAGGAATGCATACTTCTCTTTGCATTATACAAAGCACTATGCAAGCAGCATCTGTATCTGGGCTGGGCTGATGCAGAGGTAACAGAAGCTCCCTTCTCAGGCCCCTTAAGGGGGGGGGGGGGGGTGACGGGCAACGAAG